ATGTTAAAATAATTGCAATTAAGTAATAAATGTTTAATGTGTAACATGTTGTAGCTTGGTCATAATGATTTTTCCTCCATCAGATTACTTGGCAAATAAACGCTTATAAAAATAAAAAATATTTTTAGGCAAATCAAGTCTTATATTATTATTTTTAATCATTTTATTTATTTAATTTACCTTGGATCCAGTACAGTTGAGRTGCAGTAGAGGGTTTTTTTTCTCAGCATCAGTGAAGCGCCTCTTGACAGCTGCAGCCAAAGTAGACTTCATTGTTTTGATCCTGTGATCTTCACCAGTGTCTTTGTTTAGGAGTGTCAGAAGCACGGTCACAGCAGGGATGACGTCTTACTACTGTCACCTGAAAATACCTCCACACCGCTGACATAACGCCTCCTCTACAACCTGCTTGCTTGTTAAAGTTTGTTCAGCTCGGCTAACGTGGTCGTCGTCTTCTTCTTCTGTTTTTTTATGCGGCTGGCATTAAGTCTGTTGCRCGATTCCRCYGCCTGCTGGTTTAGAGCGTCTATGCACAAACTGAGCGAAATGAAGCTGGTATCGGTCCTGTAGAATCGGAGCACTTTTACAAGTACAAGTACGAGTTAACGCACATGGTATCGGGTATCGGTATCGGTGCATCCCTAATGAACATCTTACCTGGTGTGACATGTCTTTGAATGACCTAAGTTTAGAGAAACAGATATTGGTCTGGCAGTCCTGACGAGAGTGCAGAATTATGACCGTATAACACCTGTGTTCCACCTGCTCCACTGGCCTCCCAGTGCTGCAGGGATTGATTATAACATTGCCTTCCTCACTCGTCTGTAGGAAAGCTCGCTCCGGTCTAAAAGAACTTCTCGTCCTACAAAAACCTCTTCAGGTTCCCTCTGCTGCACACAACTCAGCCTTCGTCCCTCCAGAACTGTGAACTGTGAGCCTTCTGTGCTGCTGAACTCTCTTCCTGACACTTTAAGAGCAGCTTGGTCTACAGACGCTAAAAACATTTCTTTTGAACAGTTTCCTAAATGTAGCCACACTTCACACGTCTTTTTAAATAGCATCTTTTTAGGGCGTTTATTGTAGCATTTAGAAACTTTCTTCAAATAGAATAAGTGCAATGTAAATTATTATTATTGTTGTTGTTGTAGTAATAATAACAAAGGTTTATAGTAACTATGTACATTTACTTCATTACAGTACTTACTGTTTTTTTGAGGATTTGTAACCTTACCAGTTATTTTTAAATAGCTACTTTTACTTTTATTTTGTGACAAGGCACAGTGTGTAGGATTTGTTGTTTTCAGCAACATCTAGTGGTTGAGTGGTTGAATCATCCTCCCTGGTCCTCCCCCCACCCCCACCCCCCAGCTTCCAAATGCAAAGSAGTTGCTACAGTGTCTCTCAGGTGTCAAAAACCTTTGATAATTCCAACCGCGATGTCTACCAGCAGCTTCAGGGCTAGTGATGTTTCAAGTGGTAAGATTATGAGCTTTAATAAGTAAAATTATCCCAGCTACAATGACAGACAACAAATATTACATTTATAGTATTACAATTAAAACCGTTTTTGACGCCGCCGCAGTTTGTCCTTCATGAGCCTTCGTAGACAAGATGGTGGTGCAAGATGGCGGCTGCCTGTAGTGGCGACCCGCGACCATGGAGATATAAACAGCTTTTTATAAGGTAAAAATAATAAAACAAGGTCTTTGTCTGCAATGATTAGACATGTTTTTTATTATTGTCGTTAGTGATTAGCTCAATTTCGGCTAAAAGAATTGACAAAATCCTACACACTGTGCCTTTAAATGAAATGAATAAACTAACTAAACTAAAATATTTGGCAGACACATGATTCCTGTTGTTTTGTTGTAATTTCAGTGCTCAGGTTTATCTGTTTCACTGTTTGTTTTTCTGCTTCACAGACATTTGGTGATAATGAAGAAATAAACTGCTCTCTAACATCTCAACCTTCACAGACTGTTAATAACCCCCCCATAGACCCCGCCCCCAACACCTGCCGCCTTGCGCAGAGTTTCTTGAAAGGTGACTTGAGACAGTTGTAGCCTCTGCCCTTTGGCCGAAAACAAAAGTAAAACGACGTTCCACCCCACCCTCGCCTTTGTTTGCTTTATCAAATGCCCAAAAACAGCAAGGCCGTCAAGAGAGAGCTTGACGATGATGTCACAGAGTCTGTCAGGGACCTGCTTTCCAACGAGGACGCTTGTGACGATTCCTTCAAGAAGAGCTCGCTGATTGTCGACAGCCCTGAAGGGGAAGGCAAGGAGTGCGATGTGGAGGAAGGAGGCTTCGACACCGAGGAGGAGGAGCGCCCAGCCTGGAACAGCAAGCTCCAGTACATCCTGGCCCAAGTGGGCTTCTCTGTAGGCCTGGGCAACGTCTGGAGGTTCCCCTACCTGTGTCAGAAGAACGGAGGGGGTGAGTTTCTCTTAGCCCCCGACTCCAACACATTATTTATTAAAGAACAACCTGCAGATAATCAGAACAAGTACTGTCTTAAATTCAGCCTTTCTATCATTTCATAAACTTGAAGAATAATTAACAGTTGTGTTTCATAACATATTTATGTCTTTACCTTGACTAAGCGATGACTAATCCTTACAGACGTAGATCTGTCTCTGAGCTGTGCTTTTTTACATCCCACCACACACACACCTTTCCAGAGATGAAATGTTTTTGATACTTTATGCCTCCAGTCACAGACTTGTTGTCTGTGCCTCTGTCTGAAAAATCGCAGAAATGCTTCTCGAGGATTTGTTTGAACTTGGTGCAAACGTCCTCTTAAATGGACTTAAACAAAAGACTCCTCGTGTTTAAAAGGATAAAATGAAGAGATGCTGACGATCTGAATTAAAAAGAGCAAATTCTTCTCATTTGGACCTCCATTATGTTTTTCTAAACCATTGTTTAGTTTTGGTTTATTTCATGTAACATCCACCTTTTAGCCTCCTCTCACCACCCTGCTCTATATGAGTTTGATGAACCTCCTTTACTGAAACTTTTCATAAGTTTGCTAGCTCTTAGTACTCACTACATAGGTTTTCCTGATAGTTTTCCATATTTTCTGTGCCCTCACTCTATACATTACTAGCACATTCTTGAAAAAATACCAGGGTTCCAGCAGATCATTAAAAAGTCTAAAAAGGCATTGAATTTATCAATCCAAAAATAAGGCCCTCATTAGCCTTAAATGTCTTAAATCAATCCTTCAGAGATCTTAAAGGGGACCTATTATGCAAAATTCACTTTTTAAAGTTTTTTTTTACTCAACTTTCTTCTTTAAAAAAACAGTCCTAGGACCAAAAAAGTGCACCCAGAGGCATATTTACTGCAAGTAAATATATTTTTAATGTATATTAACAAGCCGTACGACAACCCACTAGAACCTGCGTTCAGCTCCTCACCCGGGTGAAGCTCCACCTCCTCAGTATAAAAAGCCGTCACAGTTGTTGTTGTGTAATGTGCAGCTCATTTAACAACAAGCCTCCAATAGGGCAATGGGTAGAGTGTTGGACCAGAGAGCAGGGGAGACCAGGGTTTGAGACTGGCATGGACACAATTTTATTAATTATTTTCATTTGTTATGAACACGTTTTCTCATGTACCTCTATTGTTTAGCTTATTAAAGCCTTGTTAAAGCCTATTTGTTCCAGTTTCTGAGGTATTTTGACCGCTGCTGCTCCCTGCTCTGGTAACAGCATGCAGAGTGAGAGCAGAGCAGAGGAGGGAGAAAAAAAGAAGCTGCGACCACGACTCTGCCTCTGGGTCTCAAATGTTGTACAACGGAGCTTCTGCTATTATTAGCCATGCTAACGTAAACGCTGGCTTTGGAGGGCGGAGTTAATGTCAACAGATTTTTGGAGGGCGTTACCAACAGAGCTCATTAACATAAACAGCTCTTCTGAACAGAAGTCAGAGCAGGCAGAACTAGAAAATGAGAAATTTTATTATCTGAGAATTATTTTGTGCATTAAATTGAATGAACATGGTCTGGATAGCCCACAGACATACCATAAACATTTCTAGGACCCATAATTGGTCTCCTTTAAAATGTATAATTCATCCCAAATTTTTAAATAATTGATAACATTTCAAGTTCAAGAGGTTGACGATACACTTGAATTTGTGTTTGTATTAAAAAGTATAAGGTATTAAGTTTAAAGGGATCCCTGATTAGTTGTAACATTAGACTTTATTTGATAAACATTGATTTTAACTGTAAAATAAAGACTGTAAAATACTGTAGGCTGTTTAGTTTTGTAAATTTTTAAAAATATATTTTAACATGGATGGAGCCATTTTATTTACACACAAAGCATTCTGGGTAAATGATGACGTGGATAGGTCCTCTGTGCGAGGCTGCTAGCGAGCTATATCCACCCTGAAGGTTAATCTTGGACAATATCTGATGATCGACTCTTTTAAATGAAACCAGAGAGCGTTGACAGAGAGGAGAAGGTAGAAATGACTCAGCCTGTAACTGAAAATATGGATGGAGGACAACAGAGCTGCTTCATGGAAGAAGAACCTCAGCTTAGCTTGTTAGCCTTCGTGCTACCACCAACGCTATATTGCCTTATATGTGTTAGCTCAGTGCTAGCGCGACAAACAAGCTAAACTGAGGTCCTCCATCCATATTTTCAGTTGCAGCTGAGTCATTTTTGCGTTCCCCTCTCTGTCATGTGGATGGAGGACCTCAGTGACGAGAAGAGAATGTGTAGCACTTAGAGTCAGGGCTAATGCTAAAGCTAACAGGCTAAGCTGAGGTTCTTCTTCCATGAAGCAGCTCTGTTGTCCTCCATCCATATTTTCAGTTACAGGCTGAGTCATTTCTACCTTCTCCTCTCTGTCAACGCTCTCTGGTTTCATTTAAAAGAGTCGATCATCAGATATTGTCCAAGATTAACCTTCAGGGTGGATATAGCTCGCTCACACAGAGGACCTATCCACGTCATCATTTACCCAGAATGCTTTGTGTGTAAATAAAATGGCCCCGTCCGTGTAATATATTTTTAAATTTTTAGTTTAAAAATGATTAAAAACTGAACATCCTACAGTATTTTTACAGTCTTTATTTTACAGTTAAAATATATGTTTATTGAAAAAGTCTAATGTTACAACTAATCCGGGATTCTTTTAAGAATTTATGTATATACCCTCATCGTGTTTTTTCAGCATCGTCATTCGGTAAAAAGACAATGATGCTACTCGCCAAACAAGGTTTTCTGTCTTTTTTCCCGTATGACACTTTTTCTGTACCATCACCACTTTTTATATCAGCAACATGCTGCCATGAAGGTACCACCACATAACATGATGGTCACTTTAATACGTAGGCCCTGCCCTGGCACAACTCGGGCCACATCAGAATGCCACTACGTGCTAGAAGATGACACCATGCTAGCACACTCCCACCACAGGCTTTACATCTGCACCAGGCTGTTTCCATCCCATGGTCACGATTATAATGGTACCCCAGGCACGAGGCCGGTGTGGTTTGTGTTTTTCAAGTTCTAAATGTCAAAGCTGCACCTGCCTCTATGACCTGCTCAACCTCACAACAGACGTTTTGCATGCTTTAACATGGGTCTGTTGCACCATATCACACAAAATGAGGAGTTAACCACATTATACCTCGTTAAGACCCAGCAGAGACCATTAAACATTTGGCTGATATTTTACATTGTGAAGGGGTCCTACAAAATTGTGGATGAATTGCAGCAACATTTACAGTAGTAAAATTAAATGAAATATTACACCTGCATTCTGTCTGTGTTCCATAACAGCTGCAGTTCATCTAAAACCAAAAATTCACAAACGATAACCTGTAAGAAAATTCAAATATAGTAAATTCTCATAAATTTTATAACAATTTTGTCTTTAAGTTAGATGGAACATTTAAATTCATGGTTTTGCTTATGAAAGCTGCAATGCCTCTAACCAGGTAAAATTAGGCCGTTCCTTCAAACAGCTTAAATGTAACAAATATCACAGTGCGCAAAAAGAGCTTGTAATTAATCTATATTATTGCTCTTATTTTTATAGTTTTGATTTAAAAATCACCTCAACACAGTTAAACTGAAGTCCAGTGAGGAACTAACTGTAATAACAAAGTGTGGTGGAAGGCAGACAACAGTTTAGCCAAATTAGACACCTAAAGGTGTTATTTAGAAGTCAATGAAAAGTCTGTAATTACAGGTTGTCGCAAAGGAAAACTGCATGTGTAACAACATTTAGGAGAGCAAAATAAAGATGAATGTATAAACTGGTGATATAAACAGTACAAAAGACTGTCAGTAGTTGAATATAAAGAAGATTTAACTAGTATTCTAATATGGATCTAATTTCCATGACGTTAGAATAATTTTGCGAGCTATTTGCTTTCTTATTTTAGTAAGCTTTCAAGTTGTTTAGAGAGTAGTGCTCAGTGTGAATTTGCTTTATAAAAGCAAACTACGAAGTGTGCATCATAATGTCAACAGGAATGACACATTAAATAAATAAAAAGGAAATATATAACTTGGGTATGTTTGTGTGTGATATTTTATTACAAAAGTTCAACAGCTAAAGTAGTTCTCCTTGTAGTTGGACTCTGTTGTGTTGAATGTATTTTTTTAAACGTAAAATAAAACAGTCCTAAAAATGGGAAAATAAGCTCTCAAACTGTCCTCATATCTTTGGAAGACGATAATGTTAATATTTCGGAAAGAGAGGAAAGATGGTTTGAGACAGGTTTAACAAAACGACATTTTTGTTAAACAGGAATGATTTACAAGTAACAAGAGTTTCAACTTTCAGCTTTCCAGAACTTACAACTTTAAATCTAATCCCCATTCACACCAGCTTGCACCTCCATGCATTAGGGTCGGGTAAAATCGTAATGTGCGTGATTAGTTTTCATAAAAACTGTCAGTGAGTAATATTTGTCCCTTTGTGATTGCATGATAATGACATATCTTTGAGTGCAACACTCTCACTATCAGGAGCGCATGTGAGCCCAAACAATAATGACGAAAGGTGGCACGGAGCAGCTAACACTACAAACTGGTTTAACCTCCGGAAACACAACCACGAACTGGAGTATGAAGAAAGTCCGATAACATGGGCCGAGGCAACGTTGGCTTCAGTAAATTCTGGTGGAAATAGATCTACTCGGCTAACAATCCACGAAGCACTCGATCAATCTGTCCTTTACAAGCAGCACGTAAGAACCAGGAGGCCGCAGGCCATGGCATACTGAGTTACTAAAAGTATGCTGCCACTCCACATTGTAGAAATGGCGAAATTCTATTCACATCTTTCTATTTTCATTTATAAAAATGAAGCGGTTAGTTTGATGTGTACAATTTTAGAGCACAGGGTAACATATTTAGAGTCAAAAACATGCAAGTGCAGTTGTCAACTATTAATCGTTATCG